ATTTCTCTTACCAGTAGCACAAATGACTCTGTAAAGCAAAGAGATATTCATTGAAGCTTTCTATAGGTTTTTCTTGTAAAACATAGTCAATACGACGTCCTCCATTTAGATTTCCAACCTTCACTAACAAGTCTTCATCTTTTGGAGGCTCTGGATTTTCAGTGATCTTTTCAGCTAAAACATAAAAAGATTAAGATTTAAAGTATTTTCAAGTACAGACTCCTTGACTATCGAGAAATACCACTTATCTTCTACACTGTAATTTCCAAGTGACTGCAATAAGACAGTAATAGTAGTCTCAGCCAAAAAGCACATCACTGCCTGAATCAGAAAGGTTACTGGAACAGCAGGATTGTTTCTGTCATAACATTTAAACAGAGTTTGAAAAACAGCTCACAAAGTAGTATCTCAGTAAGTAAAAAAGCAAACTTGTGCCTATACACAAATAAATCCAGTCATTCCTCAAGGAGATAACTTGGAATAGTTCACTTTTATACCCCACTTGCATGGAACCCATCACAAGTCTCAGTTTTATTTTTTTTCTTTTTTCCTTGATAAGCACAGCTCACATTACTAAGCACCAAGCACCGATGTACTTCCATAAAAAGACACAGAAATGCTACCACAGATCTTACATTTAACATGAATACTCTGAAAACACATAGGCTTAACAGGGTCATGATCACCAAAACTGGACAATCTCTAGGAGACTCAGGATTCCTCTAATCTGAGGCCAATAAATTAGAAAGCCATCAATGTGCCTACATACCTTCCACTACTTGCTTTTCTTCTTCCTCTTTTATTTGGTGAGCTACTTTCTCCAGTTCTGCTTGCAGCTGAGCTGAAGAAGTATGAGCACGTGCAAATTCATTAAGGGTCTGCCATGCACTCTTCAAAGAGCTGATGAAACCGTGTTTCAGATCAGATCCCATACGAGAGAGAGAGTCTTTCAACTCTAAAAAGATAATCATTGTAGAAAGATTTAAAATATTAAACTAAAACATGAACAATTAAACACTGTTCTACAAGCATCTCAGTTATAAGAAACAGATCTGCTATATCATGGACATGCACTTCTTGCATCTCTATGTCATTTAAAAGATTAGCTGGAATGCAGTGAACATGGAACAATTTTGCACTGGATGGGTCGATGATGGGTTAATACCTACAGACACAGGGAACAGGGTGACAGCAGCCAAGCCCAGAAGGGCCCACCCGAGAGGTGTCTCAGCCAGCCAGTCCCTCACACCACCACCCAGCCAAGCTCAACAGCTTGCACTGAAGGACCATGAGACCATCCCAAGCTACTGCACAGGAGAAGATGCTAAACTGCTGCCTGTGACTCCTGCAGCAGCAGTGGATTTCTGCAACACTCCCAGCAGCTCGGGACAGTTTTCCCAGATAACTGTGGCCTGCAATTCTGCTGCATTTCAATAACTGCTTTCCAGGTAACAGAGCTGCCATCCAACACAGGTGGGAACCTCTGAGTGAAGGAGAGCTCTTCATGTGGCTCTAAAAATCAGAGCTCAGTCCTGTGCAGTGACCAAATGCAGGAACATCCACTCACATCACAGAGAAGCCGTTTTTTTATCCAAGAGCAACCACAATTTTTGGTTTACTAGGACACTTACGATGCAAGTTCTAACAAAAAGCTTTCTAAAGAAAGTACTTTGTCTTATTTAGGACAAGAGACTCATTCTAATCTACCCTTCTAAAGCACAGATGGCAGAATTTCATTCCAATTCTGAAGACAGAATTTCAGAGGGCTCTGAACTATAGCAATTTGTGTCAAGTGAATTGCAAAACTGATGCTCCTTAAGAAGGTGACATTCCAGAATCTGTCATCTTGCTACGATGTATGCACGTGCACAACAGAAGCCCATCCTTGCCCACCCGTGGCCATGAAACTGTTCTTTTCTCAGCCTTTCTAACAACACAGGGCAGACACTGCCCAAACTCATCACAGCGGTCATCAGACCAAGGTAAAAGAATCCAATAAGTTTAGTTCGTCTTTCAAGATGAACAGGATGAGTGATTTACAGCAATTTCCAAACAGGACTACTAAAACCTGGAGGCCTTACATATCTGATTATTATTTCTGAATGCAATTATGAATGAACTTAAGGTGCCAGGACAAATCCCTCAAATTTAGCCCCTGTGAGAACATATCCAACTAGACATCCAGGAACATGAGCATGCATTAGTCTCTTGATGCATTGGAGTATTACAGAATGTCAGGAGAATGATTAGGAATGAAATTCACGTATGAATCTTTTTACCCAGATGAAGTCTTTTTCTGCCTTTATGATGTGGAATAAGAACTGGTTTTAAATCCAAGTCTTCAACGATCATCGGTTCTAACCTGTAAGCTACTGGGTCAAGCTGTTAAGGAACAACAAAAGAGAATATTTTTAGATAACTAAATGTCAATCATTACTTCTTAGCAAAAAATCTCCATTTATGACTACTAATGAAGATCAGTCACTCTCCTCCAGTTCACAGAAACTCAATTCACTACCATTTAGTTTAGCTTTAAGATTATATAGGATCATTAATTCTAAGACACAAAGGAAAAAATGAAAAAGCTGTAAAATCTTCTCAAATTCTGATGGTTTCTCCCAACACATCACTGTAAATAGTAAGCAAGACAAGGCAGAAAAAAATGTATTGTATTTACAAAATCTATAACGTTCTCTAAACTTCCCAGTCTAATAGGAACCCCAGAGTAGTCTTGCTCATGGCTCAAGTAAAACTACCTTACAAAAATCTACAAAAATGACTTTTAATTAATGAAAATATCATTTAAGCTCTGGAAGTGAACAGAGTAAATATCGGCAAGCCAACCCGTCATTCTGGGCAAGTAATCTATAGCCTGCCATACTTCCGCTGCAGAAAGATTCAATAGTACCTGGAATAATCATACACTTCAGTATCTTTTTTAAGGAGAGTTAGAGTTAAGTGTTAGTATTTCAGAAAAGTACGGACAGGAAAAGAAGGTTGAGGCTCCGAGATAAAAGATTTAATATTCTGCATTTCTGCCATCTGCATTAGCTAAAAAACAAATCTGAAAAGTCTCTCTCACTCACTGGATGATAGATATTGAAGAATCCCTTGCAGGTAGGAAGCCTGTAGTTTTCATCAATCTTCTCTATTCCTCGCACCGTGAGGAATACACCAATAGGAGAACCCAGAGCAAAGAAAATATCTGGTTCGAAGTCTAATGCGCTATAAACCACAGAAACCTGCCAGATACAGAGAGATCAGATAAATCATCCCTTACAACTGTCAGGTAGTTAACAGAATGATTAGCTAGGAAAGAAAATGTACATGTGTGTGTTAAATCAACCACAAGTTCACAGATGCCTATTGCTGCAGATTCTAGCTGCACTGCATCCCCTCTATAAATAAGGAATTAAGACGGTTTTCTTAAAGTTTTCTCAAATTACAGGAAAAGATAAGTAAAAAATAAATGCATTTATCAAATTATCAGATCAAAAATTCTAAGGCCAATTGTTAAGATTTTTGAGTTGAGGCAAAATTTAAACATAACAGCATAAATGGGTCGTTTGAGGCCACCACATTAAATGCCAAAAAGCCATTGAGTAACACTCACAAAGCTGGGATTTCAGAACACAGTCTGTTTACAGTTTGCTCACTGTTGAGAAAGACTTGCTGTGACATCCTTGGCTGCATTAAGTTTTGCTTTTCAGTCATCTAACCCACCTTCCCAGCCCTCCCTGCTGTCAAAGGGCAAAGTTCCACACAAACATAACCTTGGCACAACGATCAAGAGAAGAACCAAGTCATAGAATCATAGAATGCTGAAGGTTGGAAGGGACCTCTAGAGGTCATCTGGTCCAACCCCCTGCACACGCAGGGTCACCTAGAGCACGTGGCACAGGGCTGCGTCCAAGCAGGTTTTGAAGATCTCCAGAGAAGGAAATGAAAATGAAAAAATTAAAACAAACAAATACAATCCAAATGATTCATTTAAGTTTATGCAGTCTTACCTGGCCAGTCCCAACTTCAAAATACTCATAGTCAATGTTCACAGAAGAAACAGAGGCACCAACTGGAAGTTTCCTCTTGGAGTGCAGCTGACCAGACTCCGAAGGGGAGACAGCAGCAACGGCCTCTTTTGCTTTCTGGGCAGCTTCCTGAGTTTGGAGCATAGCAACCTGCACTGCTTTCTTTTCTGCTGCTGCTTTCTTTTGTTCCTATCAAGACAAGTTTTCAAACCAAGAAAAAAAAAATATTAGAGGTTACTTCACAGAAGACAGTAGATCATATATTTGCTTAATAAATTCTTAATCCATTCCCCAGAAATATATTTACCTGCTTGGCTGCTCTGTCTTTTACAAAATTAGCTATTTTCTTTCTTGGTCCAAGAGGTATCCCCATTTCCTTCAGGTCATCAACTGTACACATCAGCTTAAAAAAATGATTTAAAATACACTTTGTAACATGTCTAGTAACATATATCATCACTGCCTATTCAGAATGAGCTACAACTTAGGAAAGTATTTTATAATCCAACAGAAATTACAAAAAAATGCATTATAAGCAAGAACAACATAGTTCAGAAGATAAAGTCTCATAACATTTCGTCACTGATATCAGACATTGTTTAGCTTTTGCAACTGTTTTCACGATATGCTAAAGTCTAAAGCAAAAAAAAAAAAAACACACACCCAAACCTCATCACATGAGCTACCCCCAAAAGGCAATTAAAAGTTAATATACCAGGCACTCCATATCAATTCGCTCCTTTTCAAACGTGCTGATATACTCTGACAAACTAAGCATTTCCAGAGTCTTCCGCAATGTAGGAACATCATCATCCACTTCAGGCTCACAGAGGTCATCACCAGAAGTTGCAATGGAGGAGCCCAAAGAACTGGTGTCTTCTGTCACCTTAACAAGGCAGCACAGCAACAGAATCACATTGTTGGGCAGTGAAAAGCCCATAAGCAACAGGTAAATTATTTTCTCTTAAAAACATCGTTAGTATTTAAGTTGAATTTATGTACATTTTAATGATGGAAGATACCAAGTTATGCTAATAATAGACCTGCAAAAAGTATTTTTAATTGAGAGAGACAATATGACCCTTGAGCTTTATAACATCATTCAAAAATGTTTTCTTTTAATCAAAGATGTCACTTTCCAGCCTGAACAAAGATTATTTCCTTCTTATGCCTCCTCCTTTCAGTTCAGACACTGTTAAGATCGAGTTACTTGTCTGCACTGCGGCAAGTCATAGCCACGGCCCATGATCAAATTCCAGAACCGCTTTATTTTGGATATAAACACTGCCAATCCTCAGGACACACTATTTACAAAACTGCACTTTTTCAATATGATTTTAAACGTACTATCAGACACATAACAGCATTTCTTCTAATAAATTCTGACAAGCTGCTGAAACACACGTCAATTTGCCTGTAGATACCTGCTTATCAGGAACAGCTACATCCTTTACAGTCCCATTGATACCGGAGAAAGGTCCGGTGTTTACTGAGGATGCCAAGTCCTTCTGGTTAGAGAGGATGTCAAATAGAATCAAGGATCCTGCAAAAATAAATTTAAATTGTTTTGGGAAGTATTTCTAATTTTCCTGTCCCTAAATCGTAATTCCGTGATAATACTTAGAATATGTTCCATACGTTCCAAAAAAAAATTTTCCTAAGGGGCTTTCTTAGACACGTTAGACAATACCCACTTAAAAAGATGACATTTACCAAAATAATTAATTTAGCAGAATTATTTCCGAAAATGTTAAGAAATTTATAGTATTGCTAGACAAGAAGGCAATAATTGACTGCAGGTTTTTTCATATGATATGGTGGCGATGGGTTTACGATTGGACTTGATGATCTTGAAGGTCTTTTCCAACCATAATGATTCTATGCCAATTTTTAAAAACAAATTAGATATTAAGTCTTCATGAAAGAACTGGGGGATAGGGAGGAGAGAAACACACACACCTGAGAAGCTCTAACATCTTCATTAAGCTTTATAAACTTACCTATTGAGAACTGTTTGACTTTTAGTCATTAATACACTGCAAGATAGCCGTGGCTTATCTGCTAACCTTAGCCCTACACTAAAGGAAAGCAACATTTTCTTTAATGCAGGAATGTTGTGTTTTGTTTTGTTTTTTTTTTAAAGCGATGCCCGTTTCTTAGCAAATTACCTAAGCTGTGCCCAGCCACAGAGACTCCCCCCTTGAAGTCGGGGTTGCGGCTCAGGAAGAGCGCGTGCAGGCGGTTCATCTCCAGCCCCACTTTGTCCACGATGGTCTGGCAGTAGGTGGGGCTGTTGTAGAAGAGGATGTCGAGGAGGGTCTCGTTGGTGAAGTGGCGCAGGCGGCCAATGCTCGGCAAAGTGATTTTCTTAATGTTCCTAGGAATACAGAATCGTCAGAAGCAGGAACGACTTTAAAGAAAAGAGGGTAAAGTACTTGGCAGTTCCACTCCTGGTGTTTCAGAAGTAAACATGTTCTAAATACTGCATGCGTGCCCTCTGCACACAATAAAATAAATGGTTTGATTGAGAGGATAAGGATCCTTCCTCATAACACAGGTGTCAAGTGAGAATAAAAAAATGAAAGAGTCTAGGAAAGCAGGATGGTCTAACTGAGCTAGAATGGCCTGGAAGGTCTCAGGCATCAGAGTGCACATCAGCCTCAGACATGAGCAGCGCATGTTGTCACCTTGCTGCTGGGAAAACAAGTAGCAGAGACAAACAACAGGAAGGAAATTGACAAAAGGTGACTTAGAAATATATTTTTAGATGTTATAACTCTTTCAGCTAAGCATACATGGCTTTGTTTAAGAAAAAAAAAAAAGACACCTTATGAGCAATTGCATCAGCTACTTTCATGAAAAAGTAGTATCAGAAAAAGTCTTTGTTCACATGTGTGTATGTGTGCCTGTATATAGACCTATACACATATATCCTGCTACTCCACGCCACCAACATAAAGAAATCAGACCACGTGACTTTCTAGCTTTCTCCATACTCCTCAACTTCAAAACCTGCACAAGAAATACTAGTGATTTTTTTCTTGTAATCCAATCATATATTTATCTAGCCTAAAGTATATGCATTTGTTTCTCTCTTATTCATTTCTGAAAAGCTAGTAAGATGCAGCTTCTACTCACCTGTCTACACCTGTGGCATCACCATGCAGAGAACTATGCCAGTGAACAGGCAGGAATTCCACCCTGCTCACTTTTTGATCCTCTAAAGATTTCTTAAAGTGAGTCTGCAGCAACTTCAGAGAAACAGTCCTAAAGTCATCAACTGTAAAAAATAAATAAAATAAAATAAGCAGCAGAGTAATGAAAATCTGACCAAAACAGTATGCAAATAAGATGCTCAATTACAAATATTCATTCAAATTACAAATGGAAGAGAATTCAAAGTAGAAAATCTTGGTATGCATTACTCATTTAACTACAAGAAAATGAATGGAAAAAAAAAGTCGACTTCCTAGTAAAATTCTCTTTATCTCAAAACAAAAACAATTGTATTCTACGAATAAACATGGTCTTCTACAATCTGTGGTCTAAGGTCTCCAGTTAGAAACCTATTTAATGTTTAATTCACGCAATTGTACTGGAGTGCATTACCAAAAAAATAAAATTTCTATGCAAATCTAAAGAAGGAATAACAACAGCTAAAACTACAAATCTGACAGAACAGATTCAGTTTCTAAAGGGAAAAAAAAAAAGAGGGGGAGAGGGGGGAATATCCTACCAGAGACTGACTTGCTTAATATAAAAGAGGTCGCCATATTATTTACAAAAAGCTTCCCTGAATACTGAGAAACCCACTTTTAAGCAGGTAAGAATAAAACTATCCATTAAACCAGCAAAAACTTACCACATTCAACAATGCTTCTGAATCTCAGGTCACACACCGGACCTATGCCGTGAACCATAAATACTAAATGGTCAATTTGGGGCATTTCTCCTATTAAAAAAGAAAAGAAAAAATCTTGAGCACTAATAGGTATTCAGTGCTGCAGTTTAGTGCAAGGCACTAATGTGAGTAATGATGATATAGTAATACATACTGCCTCAAAAAGTCTTTCACATAACATAGTTCAGGATATAACTTAGCCCAAAAGATTTCTTTGAATTAAAAAAATCAGAACAGAAACAAAATCAGTGGCCCCAGCCACTGCTGCCCAATTCTTGTACAGAATTGTACAGGCTGTTCAGCCTGCAGCCTCGCAGGCACTACCCACCATCAGGAATTTCATCGTGGTCATCAATTCCACGTTTTACCAGCCTGGGTCTTGCCTGACTATCCTGACTGGTGCCCCACTCATCTGGGGAGGCAGAGGGCTGGAACTGAACGATGACCTGGAAAAAAAGACATTGTCAAACTGTAAATACAGCAGAAACACATGAACTTTACAGCTAGTGTGAAAATATTGCATGGTTCAACACATCTTCTTCATTGCTTTATCTTGCATTTGAGCACAAATGTTTTCTTCTGTTAGTATATATACAATAAATAAATAAAGGTCTTAGAAAACCGTAGATCTGTCTCCTGTGGCAGCGACACCTTCATTAAAAACAGACTCAGAAATAACACAGATAATTCTCACTAGAATAAAATAGTAAAACCACTAGCTGCAGAAGGTGGTCTGTGCTGTGCAATCCTGATTAACAATTTTGACTCTGAATGAGCAATATTTAAACTCCTCTTCTTTTGGACCTCCAATCCCACTCTTCTCAAGCAGGCTACAATTTTGTGAGAAACATTTGCAGTATGGCTGCTTAATAAGATTTACTGACTCATTATAGTCTGAATTCATATTTATAACAGTTCAAGTGGCCTAATGGTTTTCTCTAAGTTTTTACTGGATGAAACTTCTTAACCCATGACTGGTTAAAGTAGGAGATACAGTGGCACTTCAGCAGGGAGAGGGAGGTTGTTCTTTCAGTTTTGTTTTTTAATTACTGCATCTCTCAAAGCAACAGTTAACAGAACCAGTCACTAAGGCTATAGTCCATCTTTTAACAACAACAAGCTGCCAAGAGAACATGTATAGTAAAGAAAAACTTTAGAAGTTATTCCACTTTCTTGAGTCCTAAAAATGGTTACAGTGGAAGACTTTTCATGGCTCAGATATACAAACAAGTTACCTTGCAGTTAAGATTAAGGCTCTTCTCCACATGAAAGCTCTTACTGTAAATTACCTTCCACTTGGGTGCAGACCATCTAAGGTTAAACTAATTCAAATTGCCTCTCATTTGCTGCCAGTGATGCTTAGTAAGTATTTTTACTGTCGTCTTAGGTGTTAGAAAGTATGGGTTTTAAATCACAGTATAGCACATTGAAGCAAACAGGAACTCTATGTATAAGCTTTATCATCTCTTGAAATTTTTTCCCCCTCTGTCATTCTTATGAGTTTTATCAGCTCTTCTAATGCAGACATATCCAAAACAATCCATAAGTAAATTCCGAGCAAGGCTAGCACTTCATTTAATTCATGCTTCCATCCATCTGATCATTCACTTGCACTCCATTCTGTGCAAACCAAGCACCAAGAACTATTACCTTGGGATTATGCATAACAAACATCTCCCCATTTGGGAATTCAAGTCGTCGATGCCATTGATTTGTAGTTACAGCCCTTTTATATTCTGCCTGAAACAGTAAACAAGCACAAAATGAGTATGATTTCACATACGACTATAGGCAATGCACGAGGCCAAAAAAAAAAAAAAGCAAAGGTTATAAATGACATGATTTTATTTAAATCAAAGTGTCATGAGTGACCTAAAAATCAATGTAGGTCCAGCTACACAGCACCTATGTGCAAACCACGTGCCCTCTAGCCACTCCACTTCCCAGCATTTGCCTTATTATGTACCAGAAGGCACATTCTGAAAAGGACCTCATGAAACAAAGTATTTTAGGACACAAATATTAGAAACTATCAAGTTCTTCGTGAAGTTTACATAAAAGCAACACTAACCTCTAGCTTATCACTAAAATCCTCGGTGTAAGGAACAAACCGGCTGTCCTTGTCTCCCTTATAGAACCACATGCATCGTCTCACTTCCGAGGGCTCCTCCTCCCAGTAAACAGCTTTCCTCGTCCTGTCGTACAGGAACACGTCGTAGCGGCCCCCG